GCCAAAAACTGACATGTGGCATGAACATTGGGATTCAGAGTATAAAAAAATATTAAAACCTCTAAAATATCTAGCACTACTCCAAAAAGAGCAGCACGCAATAGAAAATGTTGCACATCATTTACAAAAAAAAAAAACAAAAAATAAAAAAGTGACAGGAGGTATGCCTCTACATTAGAGAAAGGAGTCAGTTCAACATCAGTTTGGTTGGTGGACTGATGCTGGAGACTTCAAGGTATCTGGGACACACAAAAAAATAAAAATAAAAATTTAGAATGGTGTTTAGTCACAGAATCAAGTTTTGATAAACACCAACCACTTACTTTGAGCCCTTATATTTTTCCCGTACAGACTGCTGGGCATGCTGTGCAGCACCAACATAGGTTCGGTGGAGATCCTCAATGCATGGCATGAGATCCTCCAGGGTGTAACCACTCATCTCTACCAGAGACTTTGGCTGAGGAGGGAAAATAAATGTCACTTAGCCTACAGCAAGAATCCATGCAACAGAACAGCATGTTAAAGTATAGAACGTGGTTCAGTGTGATCCAAACCAGATAATTATTGCAGAGGCTGATTAAGATCTCATCCTGGACTGGAAAAGCGCTATATAAGTTCAGTCCATTTACCATCCCAAGACGAGGAAAATGCATCCATGTTAAGGGAATTTGGAAGTGAATTGTTAAATCTTTGAGATTAAGTGGAATATTGTTAGATACGTTTACTTTAGGGGAGATTCTCTAGCCTTTATGGGACTTACCCATGAGCTGCCAGTCACCGTATTGTTTGCCAGGACGTAAGCAGCAGCCGCCATCTGTGATGGCAGGTATTTCAAGAAGGGATCCGAGTCGACAAGGCTGAGTTCTCCAAGGTACTAGGAACAAATGCAGCTTTATGAGTTAAATATGCCTGTATAGTCAGTTTTAGTCTCAGGTGAATAACTTCCAATACTCACCATGGCCAGGCTTTCCACCTGCTTGGTAACAGCCTGATGGCAGAAGTATTGTGTGAGAAACTGGTTTATTGTTGGAGCAGCCAGATCAAAGGAGAGCACTTTAAGCACCAGATGCTCCATTCGCAACACTTGCTTCTTTGTGTAGGTGTCATCTGTGATATAGACGAACTCAGCCACCTCAGGAGGGTAGATCTCTTCAAATTTCCTGTATTAAACAATCACTTTTACACAGGGACAGAAGTGCACCTTGTTTGATTAAGAGTTTGCAAACGGGTACATACGAAGCCAGCAGCATGGCAGCAGTCCCGACAAGCTGAAGTTTGCCCCTCAGGACAGACATGGAGGAGAGGAAGCGATCGATGTAGTTGACAGCCAGATAGAGGGTCTCATTCTGGAGCTTGTACTCTTCTCCAACCTCAACCAGCCAGTCCACTAGTATAGCTCTCATACTGTTTGTGATGTCTGGCTGCTTCTTCATGTAGCCTGCTTTAGGTCTGGTTTTCACCTACAGGACAAATATGCAATTTGGTTGAAGTTCAAATACACCAGCATCCATATACCAGCCATTTCTCACCTCCATTTCTCTAAGGTATGTGTGGATTTCAGCTGCATATTCTGGAACTTCATTCACGTTGACTGGCTTTTCATCCCCATCAACCACAGACATGTCCATGGGAGAATCTGGGGAAAGAAAACACAATTTGAATGTTCTGAAGACACAACAGTTGAAAAATTAAGAAATTTCAAACCCACCAAAGCTAACATCCATTGATGATGGGATGTCGATTGTGGCCAGAGGTTGGCGGAGCCGTGCCACAGCATTGCTGATGGTCAGAGGAGATTCTTCCACAGTGGGCTTCACCTTGCTGGCTTCAGCTTCCTTGGTTGGAGCTGCATCAGGCTCATCCACGTGGATCTGGAAAGCAGGTTGCTTGGTGGGTGGCCTCTCAACGTTGATCCTTGCAACATCTTCATTTTTGCAGAAGAAAGGCTGCGATGATTCCTGGAACAACAACGACTGAATCAGGAAACTCCTCGGACTGAGTATGAGAAAACCATTAGAATTTATAATGATGTTGCATTTTACAAAAACTATTTAGTTACTGATGGCGGGAACAAGCTCTGTAAAGTGTATACTTTAACTGGCTCCAACACGAGGAAACCTGTTAGGCTAGGCGACATAAAAATGGCGGACAACTGGGCCAAATGAAAGCCAAGGCTAAATTGAAACTTTAATATGGATCGATTAAGGTAGTCTAACAGGAGTCACTTCATCTGCATGAGATTCTTTGAAGACTTGTAGGAATAAAGTTTTACTGTATTCAAAGCATGTCAGCAGCTGTTGGCTGAAGCTAACCACACGGGCCTGTTTACAGCACCGTTACCTGCTTTACGCCGCGCTGGTTCTGGACTTTGCTCCTGTGGTTGTTCTGCAGGGCTCCCAGGACGGTTCTGTTGGCAACTTGCTTCGGAGGAAGATTTTCCAGGTTCTCGTTGGCTGCAGCTCGGTGTTTGAGTGAGCCTCTAAGTCGTGTTAGCATGTTCTCCTGGTTGTGATTTTCGCTAGCCGCGCTTCCTTGTCTGTTAGCTGCTGACATATTTCCCCGTCAAACAGCCCAAAAAATCTGATACTCTTCTGTTAGAACTGCTCAGATAAATCACGATGATCTTTCAGTGACAAGAAATCGTGTACAAGCAGTTACTGTAGAGACTAAACAGTCGTTTCTAATCTAAACTTAACTGTTGAGATGGCAACAACACTTAGAACTGAGGCGCTAAAAACAAAACAAACAAAAACATAAAGCCCATATACGGCAGGAGGCTTGCTAAAGAAAGAACACCGCGCTAAGTCGTCATTTTAAGCGGCCTGAAAGTTGTACCAACCTGCAGACAAAGCAGCTGCGCTCGGATCTATTTACAGAGAATCATGAAGGGATGCAAGATTGTCCCAGTTCAAGTAGCCCGCGATGATTGAAACGGACCAATCAGAAGAGAGAGAGCGATTCACGTTGTACTTCTACGGCGGCCGAGACAGCGCAAAATTGCTTTGATTGCAAATTCAAAACCGGTTTGAAACAAAGATCACCCTCAAGAGAAACGTTACATAGCTTTAACGACTGTTTCAGTTCAGAAAACACACAAACCGCTGTATTTCACTTCAGATGCTGTGAAACATTTACTATTTTACGTTTTCTGAAAAGTTTAAAGAGTTTGAGTCTGCCTGTAAAAAGAACATTGCTGAGAAAAAAAGTGTCATTTGACAGAAAAAAATGTGCAAAGTTAATACTTTTGGAGGCTCATACTTCATTTGACTGAATGATTTCAACTGTATGTTCATTAACTTTTGTCTGTGTTAAAAAACAATAATGATAGATAGATGATAGATAGACACAACATATATGTTGTAACGTGTTTTACTCTAGTTACTCTGAGTTGTACAAGCTGACGACAATGTATTACACCAGTGATGACTGAAGACATTTTATTGTTGTATGACAGTCTCATGAAGAGGATAGTCAGGGTTGTCTGTAATATTCTTGATTTTATCAAGAATCCTTAGTGCCATTTCCAGAGGTTCAATAGTCCCTTTATCACCTTGCCGAGCCTTCTTCTGATACGCCAAGTAGAATAATGATAGAAGAGATTATACTCTCCACAATAGATTTATATAATATGAAGCTTCTCGTTTCAAACACTGAATGATTTCAGCTTCCTGAAGAAGTACAATCAGTCTGGCCTTTCTTGTAGGCAGCTTTATGATCCAGTCTGTTGTCCAGGTGAACACTGAGATAAGTTTTCTCTTCCTCCACCTCCAATTCTCCCATAATGGAAATAGGGTTTGTTGTAATCCTTATGGTTATTGTAATTATTTTAGCTAAAAAACTTTCAACTAATTGGTAATTTCTCCAGCTGTTCATGTGACCAGATAGTATTTAACTTATACATTGCTTAAGAAATTGCACATTTGTTGTGGATTTGCTCTAAGTTACACTGGTTATTTAAATTGTCAAGACTGAACCATCTGTTTTGCTTTTAAATGTTTTTTAATTAAATTACAGTTTTTGCCAACCCCAAACTACACACACATACACAAATAGCTGTTTGCAACTTGATTAAATCAGTCACCTTCCTGGAGAAAAAACAATCTTCATGTCAGCTCTGATGTTTTGGAAACATTTTAAAAGCAAATTTTGTATAAATGGTAAAACTGAATTCAAAAATAATAATGCTAGAGAGGTCTGGACTGGAATGAGAGAGATCACAGGACTGGAGAGGAAAGCTAACTGCCCTGCTGGGGGGGATCTCAAACGGGCAAACGAGTTGAACCAGTTCTTTAACGGTTTGACTCCCCAGTCCCTAGTTACAGTCCCTGTTCCCACACATTGTCTGCTTGTAGTTTTACAATTACTGCTGACCAGGTGAAAAGACAGCTGGAGAAATTTCACCCTGGGAAATCCCCTGGTCCAGACAATATCAGTCCTAAGGTCCTAAAGACATGTTCTGGTCAGTTAAGTGGAGTCCTGCAGTACCTCTTTATCTTGAGCCTGAAGCTCCATAGAGTACCAGAACTATGGAAAACATTGTGCTTGGTTTCAGTACCAAAGAAGAAACTTCCAAGAACACTGAACAACTAAAGACCCATTGCTCTGACCTCTCACATTATGAAGGCTATGGAGAGGCTGGTTCTGGTACATCTGAGGTCACAGGTGGATGCAGACCAAGACCCTCTCCAGTTTGCATACAAGCCCCACTTAGGAGTGGATGATGCAATTATATACTTATTTATTATTGTTCTTATTATGTGCAATGCTGGGACAAACTAAATTTCCCCCCTTTAGGGGATCAATACAGTATTATTATTATTATTATTATTATTATTATTATTATTTAGCCTGAATTAAAAGACAGCTATTATTTAATTAAAAATGCATTATTATTTTTAGCAATATCAAAGATTGAATAAATATTTTATTATTCTGCAATATCAATATTATATTTATAAATAGTTTCTAAATACAATAAAAGATCATAATTTGAGACAAGATAAACATAAGTGTTGGATAATTACCATTCTGTGATGTGATTACAGGACAAAGCAGCCCAGAGATAAAACAGAAAAATATACATTTCTGGTTTGTCTGACTTCATGGTTCACTGAAAAAGTCTAATAGTGAATTTAAGTCATAATGGTCAAGGATCTCCAGCATTGATGACACTTTTGTTCTCACATTCTTGCCCTTGAACTTGAATTTGTCAATAAGAAGATCAGTGATCATCCCTGCAAGAAAGATAAGCACAGATCAAGTCACTGCAATCCAAATGACTTACAACATTCAAATTTACTTAAAAATTAGCCTCATAGTGACTCCTAGACTTTACCGTAGAGCCTATCAAGGTGTGCTGGCTGCTTCTTGTACTCCTCCAGAAGATTGGCAGACTCATCCAAAATGCTGCGATACTCTGGGATTAGGAAATCAGCATTCCCCTCATGTACCTGGAGCTCCTTACGATTATAGCAGAAAGGAAGGAAAGCCAGGTCACACATGAGCCCTGACACAATGTGTTCCCATTTAACCAAAACTTACTTTGAGAGCATCAATAAGCTGAACTTTCTTTGCCAACAGTAGCTGGTACTCCAGTTTTGGATGGATCATCCGGAGAGTGTGACTCACTGAGTCGTCATTTATATCTGGAAGATACACAACAAATGGGTTTCTTTTCTCCTGTATAGATCAATGCAAAAGCACATCAGTGTGAAATTCAGAGAGACGCAGTAGACCTACCATATGAAATATTTAGATTTATTTTCTTTTTGGTCGCCTCTTTAGAAAGAACATCTCTGAGGATAGAGATGGTAGAAATATTGTCTGACTTAAAGTGACCCTCCCCTTTGCTGAAAAGATAAATCAGACAATTGAAAAAACATACTGTAAAACCCAGGTGAAAATTTCAAATTTAGTTGTGCATTTTTAAAATGAACTAAACAAAGTTTTATGTTGTCCACTAAACCTCAAAGGGCCACATAAATAGAACTTTTAAGATAACAGTTGTGTGCTTAGATATTATTTTATCTGTCAAATCAAAGCAGTTTTCTCTGCAAAGTGCCAAATTACACCAAAGAGAAAAGATGTTCATTATTATTTAATTTCAAGAAGTACTCTTAGAATGCAGAGAGTGAGCTTTTTATTAATATTTTAACATTTGCTAAGGGGTTTTATAAATATATTTGGTGACAACTGGTCTTTTGAGGACATTTTTGATTTTGATATGACACTCCTGAAAAAAGCTCGAGTTGTTTTTAGTGTGTTCCTGAGTTTACCAGTATGTGGCTTCAGTCTGTGTGCCGAGGAACGTGTTGTGGAAGTAGAAGGTCACACTCTCCCCTGCAGGCGTTTTTTCAGGCACCTCTGGCAAACAGAAAACCACCCAGGAATGAATCTCAGCAAAACTGAACTGCCCCACCAGACTGAGTCGGTTCATTGGCCTGAAAACAGAAATGGACAGAGATCATCTACAATGCAGCTGATATAACTGGAAGCTGACTTCTAACTAAATGTCTACTCATTACTCTATACCAGCTTTTTTATATTCAAGCTGTCAAATTGTTATTTGATGCTTACATGAAGCCCTTACCTGTCTGGGTCTATGCTGTGTGTCCGCTGGTGCAGAGAAAGCGGTTTGATCTGATACTGTCGAACCTGGCAGGTCTTGGGCTGCAGCCTGGGTGTAACGTAAGCCTGCAGGGTCCCATACTGTCCCTCAATGGATCTCACCTGATTGTGAATAAAACTGATTATTTATTTGCCGCATCTTATACAGAACAACATTTAAGCTCATCAAGTAGACAGGATAGTCATTTTGTTCCCCAGCATTCATATAAACCTGCACAGAGAATTTGCTTTTGAAGAATGAACCAAGCAGTGATACAATACAAAGTAAAATACCAACTATAGTTGCACAATGTGTTGCAAAAGTATTCCTACACCTTTAAGCTTTTTCATATTTTGTTGTGTTATAACCATAAACTTCAGTGTACTTAATTAGGATTTTACATGACCCAAGCAAAAATACTCCATAAATGTGAAGGACAAGAAAAATGATACCCACTTTCTTACATTTTAACTAATAAAAATATGTATTCAGCCTTAATTTAATCTTATCAAAATTTATGCTGTTCTGTGAAAGCCCCTAAGACTTGTTAGCATTCATTAGTGAACAAACAGCATCATGGAAATCAAACTGAGAATCTGTGGAAAGACTTTCAAGTAGATGTTCACAGATGCTCTCTAGCCAATTTAACTGAGCCTGAATTGTTTTCACAAAGAAGAATGGGGAAAAACATGAGTGTGCAGATGTGAAAGACTGCTAAAGATCTACAGCTGCAATGGCAGTGACTAGATATTCTACAAAATATTGACCCAGAAGGGTTTAATATAGATGCACACTACTCTTTGTCCATTTCTGGTTTTTATTTGTTAAAAAAAAAAAAAAAAAAAACTGCATAAGATTCTTTCCATGTCACAATCATGCACCGCTTTGTGTTAGCATACAACAGTGTGGTGTCGCAATGTAAAAAAAAAACAAAAAAAACATAGGAAGGTTTAAGGGTTAATAATACCTTTGCAAACCACTGTACAAACCTAAGAGTTCCATTAGCGGAGAGTTGCAATAAAGAAAACTCACCATGCCTTCACTCACAGTTAATTTAATGGTTACCTTAAGCTCAAGTCTGGTTGTATTGGCTTGACATCTGTATGTGGCCAGGAGGAAGTTTCCATTAGGCTGGTGGAAACACATATTCGGTCAGGGCTCTAAGAGCACAGCAGGTTGATGCTTTATTCATGCTTAATGTATACAGACTGACTTAAACAGCTCACCTGTGAGTCACATTCACTGAAACTGACAACGGCTGAGTTCTTATCTACATCCAGCAGGTCTATGGGGACATCACTCTGAGGACAAAAATAGATTCAAATTGAAGTTACATTCTGCTTCTTAGATAATATGATTAAATAACTGCTGCAGATACCTGTAAGAGTAGGTTATCGATGGCCGTCGGCACTTCCAGAGTGAGACTGTAGCTGGCGTCATCCTGGCAGAGCGTGAACTTGTCATTGATGCTGAAAATAGGCACAGCAGAGACAGCCGTGCTGGACTGACTGGACTGTTGGTATTGTTCACGCCCCTGAAGAACTTTCACCTGCAGCTGCTCAAGCTCTGCACTAAAAGGCAACAATATGACCAGAAACAAATTTGTGCCGAAATCCAAATTTAATCAGAATGCAGAAGGTAAAATGAGAAGCTCAGACAAATGGATAATTGTGCTCGTACCTGAGTGCTTCTATTTTAGACTGGGTCTCCTTGCTCATCCTGACCTCGACTCCTTGTACAGCCTCGGCCCTCTGGGGTTCAGAGGTCAGCCCAGTCACCCATCCTGAAGATATAATCCGCATTCAAGGATACAACTATTAAAAAAATCTAAGTTTGAGACCATTTTCATAATTTCATTTCTAAATGAAAATCACATTTCATGTAACCTGTATAGGTGGCAGTTAAGACCTCATCATATGACTCTTTCCCCACACAGCCCCCTTGGATGGAGGTCACACTCTCTGTCAACACCTGAAAGGAGAAGAAATTTCATCTTTAATTAAGAAACCAGCCAACATTTTAAAGCAAAGTTACAGTATGCCCGTGGAGGCAATCTGCTCATAAAAATAGGCTGGAACGGCAAGTTTTTACAGTGTCGCCATACTAGCATACATGATGGGACACTATACTGGGAGTTAATGTATGCATTAATCCAAAGGCCATAAAAAGCTTTAGGATTGAAAACTAAACTTAAAACATATCGGCAATATGCAGGCCACCTGACCTATAATGTGGTCAAGCAGCTTTTAATTGTGATAACTGTTTGCCACTATTAACGAAGAAAACCAAACTAGAACAGGTAAAGACATTTTCATCATGGCAGACAAAATCTCACATGTTCAAAGCGTAACGTAGGCTCACTGGAGCTGTCAAAACCATAGACTTCCACTGTCCCATCGTCCCTGCCCACCAGGATGTCATTCACACCATCGCCAATGATATCATAAGTGTCAATGCAGAGAATTCCTGATGGAAGAAAGAAAAGAGTTTTGGTGCTTTGAGACGCGTCCAAAACTACAACAAGACAAGAATAGTCCACAATGGGTCATGCCGTGAATTTTTTAAAACGAAACACTTAATAAAACATTGTGCATGATATCACTGTTCAGTTTAGAAGTTTACACACACTAATAATTGCCTTATATATTAATTTGGAAAATTAAACTGAAAAACAATCTGGGTAAACTAGTTTCAATTTATAGCAAACTTCCCATAATCCACACAAAGTTCAAATACAGACAGCCTTTGAACTGAACGCCCACATCCCCATTAATATTTGATTAAATGTCCCTTAGCAAGTTGCAGAAAAATAAATAAATATGCATTCAGATGCATATTTGACCACCCTCTTTGTTAGAATGGCAGCGTTTAGATTTGAGTATTTAAACTGGTTGTTTGTCTGGCACAGACTCAGATTTAAAGTATTTTTGTATGTATTATTGTGCAATTTACCAATACCGGGCTGAAAAAAGGACCCTCAGCATGATGCTACCACTGCCATGCCTGGAAGCTGGTACAGTGTTGTTTGAAAGCTTTGCTGCACTGTTATGCCAATCGCTTATAGTTCATGGAAGTCTTGAGCCTTCATGCTTCCTAGTTGTTCCTAAACATCCTAAAACCAAGCACATCAAAACTGATTTTAGAATAAATGAAGAAGGAAAGCATTAAGATTCAACCGTATTAAAAATGTATTGGCCATGTTTAAAAGCCGGTACAAAGCTTGCTATTTCTCCCAAGAAGGATGATGAATTAATTATCTGGTCAAAATTATGCCAGAAGCTTATTGTTGACTGGAAAAAAAAAACATGCTAAGGGACACTTAACCAAAATTTACATGAAATGTGTGTATATTCTTGTGCTTTTATGTGTAACTTTAAACATTTGTTGTTTAGAGAAAATTCACAATAAATCCAAACTACTTCACCTAAGTCTTGCTTTCAAAACTTACTGAAGCTGCATGGAAAATGAACAGTTAAAATAAATAATTAAAAATCCTAAGTTAACATGGCTATCATGCCAATAATTAGTGTATGTCTAACTTTTTTTAACTATACCTCCTTTCCTTTTTTCATTTCCAACCTCCCATTTGGTTGCAGCGTCACAGTCACCAATCTGAACCAGTCCAATTTTTCCATCAGTGGTTCCATAAAGGACTTCCTCTCCTGAAGAAAAACACATAGTGTTCAAATGAAACTCTGAGAAGATTTATAATTTAAATAAACTAAAGACAAGAAGCTCACTTGCCTCCATCTTTATTAAAAAGTTCCAGAACAGATGGAGGGCCGGGAACTTCAATATCATAAGACAGTTCAGATCCCTGAAGTTAGAGTTAGAGTAAATCACTAAAGAGAAACCTTGGTAGAGTGTTGGAACAGCCAACAGATAGAACAAAAGGGTTTAAAACTGAACGTTTATTTGAATGAAAATAATTTAAAATCTAGATTAGCCACAGGTATGACAACATGAAAGCATCCAGTTAAACAATTTTGTATTTAACTGTAAGTTTGAGTTACCTGTAAGACTCTGAGAACTCGATCTTGGCAAGCTAACACAGGGATGAGGTGAGGAAGCTTTTCAGAGGATAAACATGTGATGTCATTTATTTTGTCTCCAGAAAGGAAGTAGTCTTGGTCCTTGCAGTCACAGTAGTGGTTGTAGATGTAACTTGCACACACAAAAAGGTCAGCTCCTGAGACATGCCTAGAAAAAAACATTGTCATTATCATTCACATATGTTAAAGTCACAACATACTATAAAAGTCAGGCAAACAGAATAAGAAGAAATAAAAGGAGGTGGTTCCTACAAAGCATTAATGCTCTCCGTGAGGTTGGCCTCAAAGGTGAGGAACTGTTTTCCTTTCTTAGTGAATCCTCGAACCTGAGAACCAGAACAGACAAAGATCTTCTCCTGAGGAGTTCCCACTGCACCTCCGAGGTCCATTCTGGCTACCTTTGCTCCAGGGAGCGTTTTAAACACAGGCTGAAACAGACAATCATATGTCTTTACAGTAAAAAAAAATGTCTCTTCGGAATTCAACAGCAGCTGGATTATATAAAAGATAAGCTCACCACTGCTTCTCCCTTCTTCATCCCAAAGCATGTAACTACGCCATCATGATCAGCTATGGCAACCTGAAAAGGAATAAGACACCAACCAGACCAAAAACATGAACTCTTATTTGAGTCCATCTCAACAAACCAAATTTTCTGTCATGAAGACTGAATAAATGTTGAGCTGAGGTCAATTTACATAGTACATTTCAGAGGCTACTAAAGTTGATAGAAAGCATAAAACAGCATAAAATAAATTATTTTTGTCTGAGGGGATTTGTTAGTCAAGTCACTTAACATTTACCTAAGAAGAGCCCACACATCCTGGACACAGGACAGCGCAACAGAGCGCTGTCAAAGATAAATTCTTCCCCCAGGCTGTTCTTCAGATGAACAGTTCCCAGTGAGAGTACACAGATTGATACTACTTACAATAATTGAACCATGTATTTTCTCTTCTGCATAAACAATATATCATAACTGAAGTCATCTTCCTTCTTTGTGTGATTTGGAAAATAGTTCAGACATAAAATTTGTCTAAAATCAAATTTTAGATTCAAACAGAAAACTTGAATCTTCACAGTCTGTCACAAACAGCCTGTCCAACAAAAACACTATTTGTTCATATTACCGTTGATAAGTCTATTAAAAATAGCAAAGATGTCGGACCAGAAAAGACTAGAGAGGTGGTTAGAAAAAGGACTATTATCAGAAAACCTGTCATACAGCAAATTTATTAACCTCAAACATTATAATGCATGTTTCAGGTTGCATGTTAGGTGTGCTGTATTTTCCATACTCCTTTCGGAATTTATTTTCTTCAAGGAATAAGGGATCATGTTAATTACTTCTATGTATTAATAGTTTACATATGGCAACATCTTAAAGAGATCAGTGTCACTTTTCTTCACAGGAGACACAACTTGACTTACAAACTCCACAGATAGCTCCAAGTAAGAAAACTTCCAAAGTCCAAATAAATCTTATATTGTTATTGTTACTTTTTATCAAATAAATTTTACTAACTAAATGTATTAAACCTTGGTCACATTGAAAGTGAAACTGTTTTTCAAAGGTTTCCAATTACATGTGGCAGTGGTCTTAGGTAATATTACCTTTTGGGTTGATTTTTTTCCCAACGCTGGAAGTAACCTCATAGTTTTCTGGGATGTCACACCAACCTAGAGCAGACATGTAACGTAACATTGATTAATTTTAGTTCAGCAGCAACTAAAACTACTCTAAATGTAGCAAGGCAAAAACAGCGACTATTAAATGGTGTCGTTACCTGAGTATAATCAAGTCTATGTAGGTGGAGCTCCATCTTCTTTTAATTTCAATGTATTTTAGATAATATTCCAGCTGTTTTTCCACCAAGAAAATTGTTTGCTTGACTTCTAAAAGTAGTTCAGATTGCTTCTTTCAAGCTGAATGACAAGAGAACGAAGAAGCCATTCAAGGCTGGGATTACTTTCAGCGAAGAGATTAGCTCGACGTGCTAACGTTAGCTAGCAAGCTAATTGACTAACACGATTAAATCAGCCGCCATCTGTCTCAGTCAGTGAGTACAAACGAACTATAAAGACACCGAATGAGCAACATAAAACAACCTACAATAAACATTATCTCTGTTAGCGATAAATGTGAGATTCGGCCACCGACAAAATTGAAGATAAATCTTCCACGGCGAACTGTATAAATCAAACTCTTGTTGCCACGGCAACATTGACTTCCTTTCACCAAGCTGTGATTTAATTGGATAAAAGTAGAGCGGGTGAAAATGACGCCGAATGCTGATTGGTTCCAGTCTCCTTACGTTTGAATCCAGCTTTTACATGTCACCCCAAGGAGTTCTGTAGCATATGAACGTTGAGCAACCTTACCACAAAAGTTAAAATTGAACCGTCTAATCCAAGTCATTTTTAATTCGAACTTTTTTGGCATGAGGACAGAAAAGACTTTACTGCTGCTGAGAGGCCCACAGTCATCTTTTCAAATCCAAGAAAATTAACTAAGAAATTCATTTCATATGAAAATCAAGCTAGTTTGGTTACATCATTTGGGGTCACAGAAGCCTCGTTGCTTTATATCAGGGGTGCCCAAAGTCGGTCCTCGAGGGCCGGTCCCTGGTTTAACGCACCTGGATCCAATGATGGCTCATTAGAGGCCAAAGAGGAACACTGACATGCTGAAAAGGTTGTTACTACCAGGGAGAGAACTAAAAAATGCAGGATGCCAGACTGACTTTGGACACCCCTGCTTTATATTAAGAGAGGAATGTTCAAATTCGGGGATAAGAGGAAATTTTAGAGATATTCTTGCTGCCCTCTGCTGACAAGACTCATGGATGAGTATTTCATTTGCCAGCAGGGATTAACACAAGTCTGCTCATTATGCTTAAACTACCAACTCCTGGTGTAATGACCATGTATCCGTACTTAGTTAGGCACCAATGTGACCTGACCAAAATCATAGTAAATCTATGCTAAGAGAGGAAAGCCAACAATGCCAATACATAAATCAAGACTTCTTTAAATCCTCAATTCCAGCAATTCTTCAAAAATTCCATTTTTTGTTCTAAAGTACTGTGCAATATTCAACATTTTTGAAAACCTGAGTGTTGGGTTAGGGTTATTGTGTAATTAATCTACATAATAGAAGATTAACATTTTGGATTAGAAGGGAAAATATTTTTCAATATTCTAATTTACTGGAAAACAAACTGCATAGAAACTCTTAAAGAAATGCAGTGTGTTCTAGTCACTGATTAAAATCTCGTAGCCATTAAGTTGAGAAGTTAATGGAATTCAAAATAGTTAATATTTTAGAATTTTTTTTTAAGAGATAACTTTATTCTTGTCATAAAAATGTGGTGTCTCCTTAGGCATAGAAGCACATAAAATGTAAAGAAAAACAGGCATTTGAGGAGGAAACCTACCGCAACATCATTGAGTTAAAAAAGTTCAGAGCTGTGATAAAAACTGAGAAACAATGTAAGGATGACATGCATTGTGCAAATTATATCATACATAACTGACAGCAAAAACTGTCGTACCATAAAATATTTTTAAAAATACAGCAGATATCTTCTCAGCTAAACATCCATCAGACAACCTAGTAAAATAATTATGGATGTTAATGAAACTTATTTGACAACATAGAAGGAAAACGTTGAAGGTGAGGCATTCAGACATTTCATAATTATTGACAAATAAAACCAAAAAAACATTTCTTTAATAAAAACATATTCATGCTTCAAGTCTCTATAATCTTAGAATGTTATTTTTCCATCACAGAATAAACATTTTTATGAATAAATAATGACATGAAAGAAAATAAACCTGCCAAAACATGCAGAGTGCAGCTGATATCTGCTGTGCTCTGATCAGCCAACAAAAACAGAAATATCACTATCAGATTTCAGTGCTTTATAGGTTTGTCTTCAATGTACAGGTAAAAAAGGGAGGTCAGACAGTAAAGTTGACATTCAAAAAAAGGTTTCTTCCACTGATGGCAATGTCTGCCCCCTTCATAATTTTAAGTCACATCGCAAATGGCTGAAAAACTAAAATGAAACAACATCTGCGTAGTCTAATCAGACCCCTGTGGGGGCGAGGCGGCTGATGAAGGCGATGCTGCTGAGGCACATCCTCCTCAAAAAAGCAGGACAAGAAGGTTTCATGATGAAGTGCTCCAGAAGAATTCGCAGCTCAGTGAACAAGGTGCTACAGAGGGAAAATCATGTTAGAATAATAAATCTGAAATGTGTCATTAAAGAAAAACAAATGACTAAATATTCCTCCTTAGTTGAGGTTGGTGGTATATTTATTTACACTGCATAGCAGCTCAGAACACCATCAAAAAATATTGTGTTTTCCTGCTATAAATGTGGTGACAGAGATGTGATGATTCAGTCATTTATTTATTTTTTTACCTGGCCATCTCGCAACAATTGAGTTGACCAAGAATTTCACTCTATGTCAAAGTATATTTGTAGACACTAATGTGACACCATCACACAAACTACATGCAGAGAAGGAATAATCCAATACTGAATTTAAAGCAAACACTCACTGTATGAACTGTTGGATAATATGCATAAAGGTTATATGCATATTTAAAAGGTTTTGGTAAGAAAGAGCAAATAAAATGTACATTTATCTATAACCTATGGGAGTTAGCAGAAATAAATTCACCATATACACATGAAAAATCACGTTTTGATCCTTCTTCTGATATATATTATAATATTTAACACCTTACCGGCAGTATGGGTTTCTTCTGGATGTGTAGCGCAGTGTGAGGAAGCGGTAGTAGATAAAAGGCAGCAACAAGCTCCCCTGACCACTGTTGAAGACACAATTAACTTCAGTCACAAGTTTTATACAAGTGCATTAGGGTTTATTATGTCACTTATTTGAAAAATACCTTACTGTGATAAGAATTTTGATTTATTTTTCCAATAAATTCTACTTAATGATGTCTAGGAACCTCCAAAAGTGACTTTCATCAGGATTGTTACTTGTACTATTTTAATCACTGTTGGTTCCTTGAGAATACAAATTAATATAAAAAAAATCATAATCTGAATAAATGCAGTTGCTGTGTGCAGCTTTGTTACAAATCACACTCTTATGTACTGAAGAGGCCCATTTTAAAATGGGGCTGTGAGAGCACAGAGCAATATTTTTGTTTGTGGGGCTTCACTGCAGCGACATGCAGTCAGAGTTACAGCTGCCTTCAAGAAGATCTAAATTCAAAACCAGCAGGTCATAAAACTCAAACAACATGTAACATCAATTCACAACATGTCTGTTGAGGAAATTTACATGAGGCACTTTACAAAAAAAAAAAAAGAAGTGATTTCAATCACACATATCTTATGTGTGATTGCATGTGTTTGTCTTAAAGTTTCAAAATCTGAATGGACTCATAAATAAACAATAAATATATTGTGTATCAGTGCATTTCCTACCTAAATTACAATCAAAATCAACAGGAAACCTGGTATAATGTGATACAATTTGACATATTACATGAAATATTTACACATATGACTAAGGTCAGGTTTTGCTTTGTCTTATAGCAACAATAACATCAGTTAAGTTGGAAACATACCTGAAGAGCATGAAAACAGTAGCCGGCATTAAGAAGATTTCATTGCAAGCAATAAACTTCAGGATGTTCTGCTGGTTGGCCGTTAGTCGGTCGAGAAGGTTTCTGATGAACATCAAGCTGCCTGGACCCATAGACTGTAGTTTATAAGAAACAAAAAGTCAAGCTCTGTTGACAAAGCTGTGCAACAATTTGCTTTTATTTGGGCACAGAGTTTACCTTGAGTAAATACAAAACCAATCACAATTCTAGTTATTACTTTATATTTTTATGAAATTTGCATCTCCAAACAACGGCTGCTGGAATAGACAGAAAAAACTCAATTTGACTGCTTCTAATAGCCCATTTCAGCATTCTAATGTGTTTGGACAAAACATTTTTAGTCATATTAGATGCAGTTGATTAATAATATATACTCACATCAAGAACTTTCTTTGTGTAGGTGGTTGCATGAAGTAAAGAAAACAAGAAAACTGGGAAGATGCTCACTGAACATAAAGTTAAGGACCAAACTAAAGCTCCTCATGTCACTCAGAAATGTTAATAAATGTAATAAATATAGTGATGTGATATGCTAAAATGGCTTAAATTAATGCAAAAGGAACAACTCATGGCAATTACTAAAAATTAAACCATAAAATAACATAATCTTGCTGGAAATCTGATATGAAAACCACGTGAAGTGAAGGATACTTGTGATGGGGTAGGAGTTGACCAGGATTAGAGAGTACAGCAGGTAATGACAGCTGTCCTCTTGCAGAGCTTGGGCCAAAAACGCTCTGCTGAGCTGAAAGCGTGGAAGTCTCTGGTGTAAACGGAGGGCGCTGGTGAGGGCATTAGCTAACAAGGCTCTTTGATAAAAGTTTGCTGCTGCGTGAGGCCTGAAATCACAAAAAGAGACAGAAAGATGTTTTAGTGATGCTGGCTTTGTGCTGAAACTGCTGAACTGTGGTATAAAGCGACAAGGTGAACTCACCCCAGAATTGGCAGAATAAACATTACAGAGCAGTAGACTGTGAAGAGACGGGAAAGCCACATCGCTGTTTCCAGCTTACTGCTCATTAAGAATTGCTGTGGGGAATAAACATATGCATGACTTTAAAATAAACACACGTCTGAGATGATCATTGAATTGATCATCTCAGTAAGATGAATTAATCTCAAAAGAGTAAGAATCCTTTATTGTCATTGTTCAAGAAAGTACAACTTAAAAAAAAGGCTATAAAGCAAAAATCAGAAGAACTTATGAACAGTTTTGGACAGGGAACAAATGAATTTTTGACCCTATTGTTCCTGACTAATTTTCCTCTGTATCTACATTGCTACAGTGCTTTTAATTTGTTTTTAATATTTGGTGAGAGGTTTTCAGCTTTTCTTTCTTGTCACGGAAAGCTTCAACGTTTCTGCTCCTTTTCGATTTGAGGGTTATTGTGCTATAGCATATTGTGCCATGCCGCTTACCAGAATGTATTAATTGGCCAATAATCTACACATAAGACTAGCTCCTTACATGCGTCAGTACATGTGCATGTATCCATTTTAATGATAATTTTTTGTGGAGTTGTGGCTCTGCTGTAGAAGAGTTTGCTTATTCTGAGAGTGGATTTATTTAAGCTACATTTCTACCAAAAGCTTCT